GTAATAGGATGGATGGATTAGGATAAAGGACGGAGTTTAAAGAAGTTTAAACAGCAATGGAAAACAGTGAATAACAGGAAAAGCAGCAAAATGTTTGTTTTTTCGTATTGTGTACATTTGATTCGAAGCTGAATAAAAGAACCCGTAGGTCGCCTGCAGATTGACTTTGTGAATTCATACTGACGGCTATTTAGCAAACCTTCGCGTTCAAATACCGCACTTTTTATGACACTTGTATAATGGATAGAAGTCGGAATGGGCCCCATAGTCACAAAGACCTGCTATTCGGTAATGGAAACGGGCAATCTAATCCCCAGGACTTGGAGTGGCGAACCACTGACGGCTCCGCTAGATTAAGCCTTGTGTTGAACCACCCGACAGCAAGCTGCCTTTCACTAAAGTTGGGTGGTGGTGGTGGGAGTCGAACTTTGAACCAAAGGATCCGAAGCGCACTGGTGACAGCGACTAACCCATTGCGCCACCACGATGTGGGAATAACGATTCCAAATTCTTCGAAGTTATAGAAGTGGTACTCATAGTACGATAGTTAACGGGATAGGGAGGGTTGCCACGCTTCGGGATGAGGAAAACTATGGAACTTTTCAGAGGGTTATTGAAGACTTGCGACTAGGAGAAAGGCAGAAAAGATTTTTCTCCGGAGCAAAACTCTAGGAAAGTGGACGGAGTGCTGTCCAGACCGAGCCGAATAGGATTCTGCGAGCATTTCTTATTGCTGTGGGGTTCAAATTAGTGGTTGAATAAATAGAGTGAGGGCTCGAAGGTAGAGCTGAAGGCAGATCTGGAGCTGCAGACCTGGTTTCTCAAGTTTTTCAGAGACTAGGGTGCCGGAGTGATTTCAGATGAAAATTCGGAAATTCAAGTAAACCGTCATAGAACGTAACCATTGTATTCGGTCGTGTGTGGCGGCCGAAATCAGGTGCTGTACCTTTGGCAACGAAGATTTCCTTAACACGATGTGGTGAGTAAGCATTAGTTTCTTTCTTGAGCAAATCGGTGGTAGGATGGGTTATTTGGGCAACACTAACGATGTAATGGTAGGCTTTTCCAGCGTACAGCCCGACTGCGGGGATGGTTATACTTTCGAGGATATAGTGGTTTGCTGAGTTTTGAACACTGATGAACGGTCTCAGTGAATATCAGACCTAATGCAACGGTCATTCCAGCGATGAAACCAGAAATTTTCGATAATCGTGGCTACTAATTGGTTGTACCGGAAAAGGTGCATGTAGAATTAGGTGGTAGTACAACGCTAGAAAAATAAACAAAGGAAACAAGACAATGGTCCCATGATTCCAACGGAAAGTTATATTGGATGTAAGAACTAGGTCAAGGATGTGGGGACAGTCATCAATACGATCGGAATTGCGAGTGGTGATTTTACCTAGTTGACTAGGAAAAGGCATCAATTCCGCGTTCCATTTGGCTGAAGAATGCAACAACCATTCCTCGTTACCAACCTTGGAGTTCTCCGGTAATCGTGATTCGGCGGATGGTGTCCACCGCAATCAATTTATCATTGTTTAAAGATAAATATTAAAAATTGAAGAACCCTTGCTGTTAAACGAGTGTCAGATGGCAAACCTAACTTAGCAAGACATGTGGTTCATCACCCTGAGTTTAGGTGTTCGGTTTGCATCATTGACCATCAAGCTTTCGCCACTATGAAGTCGACTTTGTCGACTGTTCATCACACAAGTGTGTGTAATATCAAAATAGAACGAAGAGAACCGAAGGTTCAGGCAAGCGAATTTCACGCTTCGAGAAACTAATGTGCGGAAATCAGAAACAAGTAGTATAAGGCTATTTATTAAAGGTTTTTGCCAGTCAATGTTTACTTCGGCGCAGGCGGGATAGTTTGAGCTTACCATAAGGTATTTGGCAATGTTTCGGTGACAGATTTCATTATCTCCCTTAATCCAAATGCGTGGGCGTTCCTGGTTAGGGTACTCTACCGCACTTCGACTTGTTTGCAGATGCCGATCCAGGTAGACAGCTCTGCTTTCGTCCGGTCCAACGCCACACCTAACCTATCGGGGCCTAATGTGGTTCACCACTCCAAGTCCCGGGGCTTAGGTTGCCGGTTTCTTCTGAACAGCAGGCCCCGTTTACTGTTCATCACACTAAGGTGTGTAATAAAAAAAGAACGCTGAGACCAACAGATGATGTGAAGATGCGGCATGATTACAAAAAATGCACGGCGATTGGGCAGGTTATGCGTTTCGCTCGCAGCCACAACCGCCGCACTAAAGTGCAAAACTGAACTCTCAGAATCAAGTCCAAAAGGCGCATCAATTTGTTGGTCGCGGACACAGAAGAATATGGCAGTGAACCGACAGCAGTGACGCTCGTGTCATTTTTATCTGGCCAGATTGCTTGAAGAAGTGCTTGCACAGTTGAACTCTAGTCTGTTGTGATCAAAGAGGTTAACTTCCTAGATGGTGAATGTTTAGACATAAAAGTGGGCACTGCTGACGAGTTCCAGCCAGGACGAAACAACTGCCCAGTGCTCTTTGTCGGTCATTACAAAGATTTCTTTCGCAGGTAAACTTTCTCTTCCTTCAAATCGGGTCTATTCCCCATCCTCCGTACGCACTCCTCCTTATTGTGCGTATATTTCGACTTTGCAGCAACGATTACATTTAGCTTCATTGTAATCCGCTGTATGATGATAGTGACTAATCACGGATAAAGAGGGTTCAGATGTTGCTGCATCTTTTATTTTCGAGTGCAAATCGTACTCAGTGTGAAATGCCGCCAGAATTTTACCTAAGAGTTTGGTCAGGAGAACGCAGAGAGATAATGGAAGTAGGGTCTTGTATGCGTGTTTCGGAGACACAACATTGAAAGTTTCGAGAGTTTTAGCCAGGGAAGCTTGTTGGCCAATCTGATAAAGCGTGCGAACATTGAACACGGCCAAGTGAAAAGGGGATCTTGGCTTTAAAAATCCTATAGCTTCTGAATCTCTGGCCTTGATGGTAAAACGCTGAATGACATTCGATGAGTGGCGTAAACAGGAGGCATCTAAGATTTATCGAGGTTGAGAAGAAGAACTAGTCAGAAGGTAAGGATCGTTTTCCAAATGGTACCACAAACCTTGTATGCATTGCGAGTTTTGCAGCGATCAGCGAAGTTCGCTTCACTGTATATCGCTGTACGATGATGATGCCCCAAAGATTCCGTGCTTCTAGCTAACCGGTCACGAGAACTTTTTAACCTACCTCTCAAGGTGAAATATCTTTACCCAGTTTTCCATCCTTTCTTATTTCATCACATTAACCGTTTCCCCGCTCCATAGCATCAAATTTAGTAGGATCGTTTTATTGATGTTACCGCCTGATGTGATATGTGGAAAAAATTACTCAGCGAACATCGTTTTCTAAAATTTAGTAGCGTTGTACATATGGCACCTGTTAAACTGGGGTTTTTCCAACCCTGATACTTGTTAACTTCGGCTCAGTTATGATGAAGCGAGGGAGAGGAGAGAGGGGGCTAAAAGCTCCGAGACCCTATGCCCCTATAATTTTTCCAGTTCGTGATTGCGGGTTGATTTCTTTGCTAGCCACTTGTTTTTTTTAAGTCTTTTATCGGCATCTCTAAGCTCCACAAGTCAATAATTTAGATGTTCCTTACACTGCATGTTTGTTTCTGTACTCATTCTAGGTACCAATATGTCATGATGGTAGTGCAGTGGTCTAGTCGCTTTCGTCGGCCCTGTGATCCTAGGTGCGAATCTCTCCACCGCCACTCAACTTCGGTGGCGACAGCTTTGTTGTCATTCTCGCTACAAGATTGGCTGCGTCTACTCCGGCGCTGCTGCTTGATGGTCAAGATTTAGCTGTAGTGGAATGTTTCTCCTACTTAGGTAGCTGCGTGGCGAATGACGCTAGCGTAGTCAACGAAGTGTCCGCCGGCATTTCCAGGGCTCGAGCGGCTTACGCAGGATTGAAACACCTCTGGTGCAGATGCGATGTTTTGTTGAAACTGGGAGGTCGTGTATGATGCACCAGTGTGCGGTCAGTTCTGCTTCATGGTTGCGAGATCCTAAATTTGCGCGTGGAAGATATTCGTCGTCTAGAAGTCTTCGACTGTCATTGTTTGCGTAGTTTGGCGAGGGTTGGATGGAGCGAGGGGGTAAGAAACTCGGAGACAAGGCGTCGCGTTGGAAATGATTTGATGGAGAATTCGTTGTTCCATCAAATTCAGATTGGTCGGCTTCGCGTATGCCCAGCCATCGTCTACCGCATCGCGCCTTATTCGCAGTTGAGGCTCCAGGTTGGAAGAAATCACTTGAAGGTCAACAGATGACGTGGAAACGAGGCTTGAAGAAGTGCAAAGAACGAATTGGTGTCTCCCGTCTTCCAGGTTAGGGACCAAAAGACTCCGCAACAGGTTGTTTGGAGACACTGAAGGATATGGCAGCGAACCGACAGCAGCGGCGTTGTCATTTATCAAGTCAGAATGCTTGTGTGCACACTTAGATTGTGTATTCTGTATGTTAACCATAGAGTTTCATTTTCTTTTCCCCTCTCCACTTGGGCCCAATACCTCTCCATCTTGTACTGTATCACTTAATTTGTGTACGTGAGCTTGGCAGTGATCAGTGAAGTTCGCTTCACTGTATCTCACTGTTCGANCTGTTCGATGATGATGATGATGATGTCATTCACGCCTAACCTAACGGAGTTTGCCATTCCAACTCCCGGGGCTTGGGTTACCAGGCTCCATAACTCAAAAGCAGGTCTTCGTGATTATGAGATCGACCCCGTTTGCTGTTTATCACACACGTGAAATATATGTTTTTTTGACGGTTTTTCTAGTTAAAGATTTTTGGGTGCCAGCACAGTCGTCTGATGTAAATCATCCTATAACATTTCGCTTTGGAACATTTCCCAATCGCAATTCATCATTATCATCATCATACAGCGAACTTCACTGAGCGTTGCCACACTTGCAATGCATACAAGGCTAGTGGTAAAATTTAAGGTGGACAGCGATTGGACCCACTTTGAGGGAGGGAGGAGAAGGTGAATCACTATGGTCAACACAGAGTGCAAATCGAACTCTGCATACATACCGTTTCAAGCATTCTGACCTGATAAGAAACGACAACAAGAACGCCCCTGCTGTCGATTCACTGTCATATCCTTCCATGTCTCCAACCAGCCGGTTGTGGAGTCTTTCGGACCCCAACCTGGAAGGTGCGAGACACCTACTCTACCTAATGGCTGAGTGCATTTCTTGATGCCTCTTCTCCAAGTCATCTGTTGACCTCCACGTGGTTTCCTCCAGCCCGGAGCGGGAACAATGAATAAGGCGCGGTGCAGCAGATGATGGCTGGGAATACGCAATACGTATATCGGCAACCAAAAGACAGCAACCAAAACCGGCGCACGAAAGTGCATGGTTGTAAAAACTGAAGAACTGAAAATACGCAATACGTGTCCTAGCCAGCGAAGTCTATTAATCTGAATTCGGTGTGCTGGCAGGTTTATACCTAATAGACTCCCGATCGCAATTACCGGTGCGTAGTAATTTGTCTGCGCGTAGTTCTGACGGGTAAACGGAATTGAAGCTTAGAACGGCAGACACGACTTTCGATAATAAGTAGCCATGCTAATAACAATACTGAAGCAAAATTGATAACCAGGTCATAGGTTAGTGATTGGGTATGAGAAGCCAGTGGGACCCATGATCGCAATAGCGAAGAGCGCAGGAAGAAGATTAGTTGCCACCATAAACAAAATCCAAGCACGAGGCATGAATCAGTATTGCGTAAGAGAGAAAAATTAGGATGTTAACTTTTGCTGACTTCAACCGACTTTATATCACTAGCACAAGATTAACACCCAGGAAAGCACGTGCTTACCTAATATTCCCACGGCGATCGCACAGCCCACCAAGTTGATTACGTTCTAGTGCGTTCATGCTGGATCTTCTCTGTTGAAAATTGTTTATCGTGGTGAGCGGAGGGCAGGAAGAGCTTCGCACCATACACTGACTAAATTTAAGTTCAGGATTCACTTAACATCGCGACAAATGATTCAACCCACGGAGCGCATCATTGTTGATCTGCTGCAATGTTCTGCAAGCGTCATTCAGGTCCAACCCAGCTCCTCAGTTTACAGTTTCCATAATCACAAATCTTACATACAGTCGCGCTCATAAACTACAGGGGCATCAGCTTTATTCCGAAAATCTTGTGCAAATTTGGGGACACAGGTGTTCCAACAGCATTCAATACTGGATTTAGAGCCGGCAGCATTATAGCAGTGCTTCAAAAAGGTTCTCCGAAGTTTCGCCCTTTAGACTACTCCTACTTTTACGCTAATCATCTTGTTGAACCTTAACGATCATGATCAATTTGCTTACTGTCATAGACGGTTCACTCCAATGTTCTTTCTCTAGTGCTTTATATTCTGCCATCGTCCACTAAAATAGTGCAAAGCGGACACTAATGATTTAATAAGGGAGTTGTTGATAACAACTTCGTTCCATTCCTGTCGATGATGGGCTCCCCCATATTGTAATCCTTGCATTAGTCTACTTCTCTAGCCGAAAATGGTTACCACTACACAGGGTTGTGTAAGCAAATCTCTTAACGCGTTCGCTAATTTGCGGTATATCGAGTGCCGGTGCAACCCATCTGTTTCACTAAAAGGATTTCTAAAGCGTATCGCTACGTGCTGTATTATTCTACTGCTACGAAGTTGGTCCTCTGAAGAGATCATGACGAACGATTATCTGACAATCGTTTTCTGCGCAAAATCACCCATGTGCGGTGGGAGTATCGAGTGATCGAGCGATGAGGTTAGACGTGTGTTAGGGTGCGATAGTCTTGAG